AATCTTTTTATACTCTGTCCTTTATCCATTTCCTTCACACCCTTACTGAGCTATAGCTATTACCTTCTATTACATATCATATTTTAAAATATTTGTCTTTTCCCATTTGTTTCAACATGTATGTTAATTGCCACTTTTGATGATCTCTTTATAAGGCTGTCATAATTATTCACAGTCTGCAGTCAAGCACTGAGAAAGCAGAACAATTTCCTCTTCTTTAAGAGCCCTACGCAAGTAAAACTAAACAGATTTAATTTAAGCAAGAAACTTCCTTAGAGACTCAAGACAATGACTGGATAATAAAGAAACAAACCCTAGAGCCCTAGGAGTTAAGACTTCAAGAAACCTCCAGAGATCATCCAGAGCCCTCTACCCAAGTGATCAGTAAACTGCTGTCATCCCTGACAGATATTTCCCTAATGTGTGTTTAAAAGCCTGTGACATGGACATCTCTCTACACAATCTATTTCAGTGCTTCACTAGCAAGATATGTCTCCAGACATCTAATTGTTTTTTTTTTTTTTCCTTTTTTCCTCTTTAGGCCTTTTACTTCCTTCCTTCTGCTTTGGGACTGGTGAAAGGGCTATTCCTGAACAATCGGCCATTTCCATCTCCCCTCAGCTTTCTTTTCTCTACACTGAATGATGGTATCTTATTCTTTCCTCAGCAGTCTTGTCCATCTCTGGACATTCTATCCCGTCAGCTCTCCCTCGGCAAAGCACCACTAGAATTAGGGTAGTTTTGTTGAGGTTTTTCCTAGCATCATGGAAGGCAGAAGAAATAACTGAAATTTGGCACATTACAGGTCTCTTTATACATCCCAGTGTGCCTCCTTCATAGCAGAACAACACTGCTGACTCACACTAAATTTATGACCCATTCTCATCCCTGGTCTCTTCCAGCTTAATACCCTATAATTATTTCTTTATTAATATTGTAAATCAAATCTTCAAAGTCTCTTGAACTGAAGGCAATTAGCCATTACACCTAAATTTCACCGCTTAAAACATCCCATTTTGCATGCAAGAGAAGTAAATTCTGAGACTCTCTTTGTTCAGAGCTCCCACAAAGAGAAAAAAAACACCCATTACCTAAAACAAAACAAAAAAACCACTGCACATTATCACAAAAACCCACAGAACTTTTGTTCTGGATTTCCTAAGTCCTGCGCTCCAGCTCAGACTGGAGTCCCTCCAGGTGTTTGAACAGGGGCCTTGTAATTCTCTAAGCATTGAAACCTGACAAGGATATCACTTTAACTATCTACAACAGAACCATTTGTAAGTAATTTCCTACTACAGAGACACTCCTGCCCTTCTCCACTGGTTCCTCCCTCATTGACCCAAGGCAGGGCAGCACTTCAGCTAAGGCCTTCCTAAGTACACAAGATGGACATTGGCAGGTTTCAGCTTTGTATCTACTTACTGATGTGACCCTCCATTTAAGAGCAGCGTGGCACTGCTGACTCATGTTCAGCTTGTGAAGCACCTCCAGCCCTAGTTTGTTGTTAGGAACTGGTACAATTACACATTTCTCACAGTTATGGAGTCTGCTTAGTGCAATCATCTTAGTGATCTGGCCTAAAGGCAGGAATTATTAAATGCAAGCACAGAGATCCTGTGGCACATTTTTTAAAGTACCAGATTTCCCATTCCTGCAGAAAGAAGGTCACTGGTGCTGGGGGCACAGTAAGGTTGGACATGTTCCAAATACATTAAACATGCTGTAATTGGCTGTTACGTGGCAGAGCTGTTCAGTAGATCTTTCCAAGGTGTCTTGGATGAAAATCCCACACAGTGTGACACATGTTCACACCACTATGTCCAGGCTTTGCCAGAGTACAGCAGCTCCTGCAAACATTACCTCTCAGGGGTTCCCAGACACAGACCAGAATTTCCAGGGGCAAAAAAAATCCCCAAAAAACCCAACCAACCAAACAAAACACCAAAAAGGTAGAGGAGAGGATAAATTATTAGTAGAGCACTCTATACAGATAGACAAGAGTCTTGCTTTCAGCTTGGATCTAACCAACACTACAACTCACTCCAGATCAATTTCTTCAGAGATCGGAAAGTGTCTACCAATGCAGCTATTTCAGGTCAGAGCAAAGGTCCATCTAATTCCACTGTCTACATCCAGCAGTAGACCTAACTCCATCCTCAGGGAAAGAGTACAAAAACAAGGTAAACAAAGTTTCTCCCTCAAGAACTCTCTAGTCCATGATCAGTTAGCATGACAAGTCTAAGCTGCACATCAGTAGAAACTATGAAAATAATTGAATTGGTGGAACACTAGCACATATAGAGTCATAGAGAAAAAAAAGTATTCTAAAAAGCCCATTCTGTAAGGTTCTGTGCAGGAGTCAGTGCTTTCCCATGCTACAGTGTACATCTGTAGTGTACATCTACTCATGCTGGGACTCCAATCCTACCGCACAGCAATACCAGCCCCTGAGGGCTTCTGTGCCACCTGACTGTCCACTAACCAAACAATTCCCTGGCAGACTTCCTAGTCACAACATGTTTGAACAGATAACAGACATTTTAGTTACTATGTTTTTTTGATAATTGTCCATCAAACTCCTTCAGCCAGCCTTATGTTTGTCCATGCTAGAGTTTATAATTATTTCAGTTTTCTTCAGCTGGACAGCACTTCAGCTTTTTGAAGGATGCCTTCTTGCTCCTGCAATCTCACTTACCCTGCTGGCTTCTTCTCACTCTTTCTCAAATTTCCCTTGATGCACAGTTATTATCACTGCATCTCCCATGTGATTTACAGAAGCAATACCCACACTCCCTTCAAAGAGTTAGGTGTTCCATCTGTCTTACTTTCAACATGCCTGCTGATCTGTGTCTAGTTTTCCTTTTTGAAACTGAGGAGAGCAATGGTAAAGAACTCTGGCTTGCCTTACCCTTGTAAGGATGCCAAATCTAAGCACATTAAGATCCCCCTTTCAGGGGACATCTTCAGCTGTTACTGCCTACATCACATCCCATAAACCACTCAAGATTCAAGTCAAGCACTGCCTTAATGGGTTCCTGAACCAGCTGCTCCACAAAACAGCCACTGAAACATCTAAAAATGCACTCTGTCAAGCCTGGATGCAATATTTGCCTCTTCTAGGCCAAAGAAATGAAGTTGTCCGTGAATACTTTCTTCCCCCTCTACTCAGGCTGTTGTGCTGCCATCATGGTCCCCCACTGAGTAGGCTGAGCCAATATTGTATCATCTTCCTACTTAAGTTTGGGATTTTCACTGATGTGAAGTTTGGATTGCTCACTGATGAAACTACCTCGTTAAGCAGTTCAGCTCCCATGGAGTCTTCAACGTGCAGAATTACTTAGCTCTTAGCAAAGCTCTCCACATTCTTCCTGAGCACTGTGTCATGAGAACGTTGCATTGATCAACAGCTTTCCAAGTTTTGCAACATCTGTCTGCCCTTTTAGGATCTCCATGAACAATGGTACATATCAATTCCCCCAAGTCATTTCTTTGACATTAAGCATTCCTGCAGAGGAATATCTTGTTTAAACAATCTCTTCAATCTGTCTGTTACCACTTTCCTCTTCAGCTACATTTGACCTTAACATCAGCAGAAGGACTGTGAACCAGCAGCACCCTAGGCACAATATGGCAGGGTGGCTATTGACAGGGATTATCAATAGCAGGCCCTTGACTTGAATTAATTTTCCTCTGAGTGTGAGTAGCTTGATTTCATTCCTTCAAAAAGGCATGCTATACAGTTCATTTATTTACTCAAGCATTTCCCAAGTGAGTCATCTCTACTGTGGAATGAACTTTTGTTTTCCTTTTTTTTCTGAGCAGGGTTAAAGTAAAGTAGTCTTCCTCCCCCTTATCCCCCCACCCCCAAGGACATCAGCTGGCCAGAACCAGCACTTCATAAAGGAAGAAGCTTGGCTTTGCAGTAAGGAAAACTTGGATCTTAGCAATTCAGGAAAAATACCTTAGAAAGGTCACAACTTTCAGAAGAATATCATCTAGTGTTTAAATAGAACAGGATTTAAAAAAATTAAATCTAGGAAGTTAGGACCTCTGAAACACCACCATACTTTACATGGACTTGATTCTCCATTTGCATTTTATAATGGTCTATCTCAATTTAAGTGCTTTGGCAGTAAATTAACAAAACTGGAACAACACAGTGCCAATTGTGATGAAGAAAACATTTCTCTTTGGTTATCCAACTGTAAATTCAAAGAAAATATATAATCTCTATGAGAAACATTAAGGAAATTTTAAAACAAATTCTGTACTTCATACACTCTTCCCACAGGATACAAAAAATCTGTCTAGAGGAAACTGACCTAACAGTCAAACTTCAGTGGATTTTTTTGTATATGCCTCTATTGAGCAATTCAGTAAAATTAGTGTTAGCCCGGATTTCATCCCTGTTTCTAGAGTTCTGCAGCTAGCCTGCTTCTTAGTCCTGAAGCAGGGTGTAGATCATACATTAGAGTAGTTTGACTAGATTTCAGTTTGACTTCTGCTGCACAAAGGATTCCAGTATTGAACTAAGCATATAGGTTCTGCTTTCTATATTGCAATGTTAAACGATTTTTAAAATGTAAAACGATTTTAAAGCTCCCAAATATGAATTATCTTTCAGGGGAAGCAGAAAAAGGGATTTGGTTTGCACTCTCAGAAATGCAGTGGAGCTTTCAGCAAAAATGATTCAAATTAATAACGTGCTTTACATTGTGCCTGCTGGAAATGCACGAGGCGAGAGCAGCAAGTGGGGCCGCAGAAGGATGGTAACTGGGCGAGAGGGAAAATCTCGCCGCGCTTGGTCCTTGAGCCGATGATAGAGGGGACAGAAACGAGGCTCCCCACCCCTGCCTTGGGCCGGCCAGGGCTGTTCCGAGCCTGCAAACCACTGCAGCATAGAAGCCTGTGGATTTTTTTGGTTTTTTTTTCCTTCAAAAAGTTTTCAGGAAGTCTGGGGGAGGGGCGATGCTGTTTCTTTTTTGTTATAATGAGCCCCTTTGTGGAGATGGAAGAGGAGAAGAGATCTGTGTGCCGGCGAGGCGCACGGTTCCCGGTGACTCCCAAGGTAACTTGCCAGGGCTTCTAAAAGCAACGGGTCCCCGCCGTGCGGGGCGAAGAGAGGGGGGTGCTGCAGCATGGAGCTGATGGTGCTGCTCAATGCCCTGGTCACTCGCCTGCTCTTCGTGTTGCACTCACTCATCGGGGTTTGGAGAGTGACTGCCGTGAAGAAGGAACCCAAGTACTGGCTGCTGGCACTGCTCAATCTTCTTCTGTGTCTGGAGACAGGGCTCACCCTCAAGTTTAAGCAAGGCAAAGGCTACAAATGGTGAGCATATTTCGCCGGAGTCCCTCTTGCTTCTTTGCATGTACGTTGCTGCAGATACGAAGCTGCCCCTCGAGAGCAGGGGCTGCCCTGGCCCCGGAGCTGCCAGGCGTTCAGGGATCGCGTTTGCTCTACGGCTGCTCCTGGGAGGCAGGGACGGAAAGCTGGTAGATTTTGGCTAGTCCACTGCCACCCAGAGGGCTTTTTAGCCCCCTAGGAGGGACAGTTGTACAGCGGACTACCCGGGAGCCACTTTGCGTGGCTGTGTGTGTCTCTTGATTCAGTCAAGAGGTGGATGCTTGTGGGGCTGCGGCTGCAGCGGGCTGGGGCCACTGGGGCACTTCTGAGCCACAGCGGGTTGGGGCTGAGTGCAGCAGGGGCGGAGGGGTGAGGAGGGACCCTGCAAATGCCCTACATCTTACACCCCGTCCTGCCGTGCCCTAGACTGCACCTCCTCCCCGAGGACTGTATTCCCCTTCTCTCCTCCATGCAACAGCGCTAACACCACGGTACTGCATGAACCTAAACTTGATTAAAAAAAACAAAAGATGAATTAAAACCACTCTTTTGATACATCAAGAGTGGCTTAAATATTTGGATTTGTCAGGCTATTCCAGAGGGGAACTTTCATGCGTGAAAGGCTGCCCAAGAAACGAACAAAAAAGTTAGTCATAGCAGAGCTTGCCCAAGCACATGGGGTTTTATACGTATCTAAAGAATTACTGCTGTCATCTACAGCTCATCAGCACTCAGGCAGCCAAAACGCTCTCTGAAAAGGAGGTGGTCATGTATTGTCAAGACTTCACTAGGACCTTTTATTGTTAAAAACTCAAACCGCAGGCAGGCCTTGAGACAAATCCAGGACTAAAGAGCCTTGGAGCATTTCCATGTTCTTAAAATCCTGCTCATTGCAACCTGTGAAAGTCATTATAATGGAGTGTTGTGTGGCAATTCACATAAGAGTTCCATGCTCTAAATTTGAATGTAAAAAAAGCAGTGATAAAGTCTGGGACATTGGAAAATTGAACAGTGGCAGAGCCCCAAATGAGACAGGCAGATTGAACAGACACAGTTCTTTTGGGAGAGGAGGCAGCAGCAAAATCTTCATGAAGGAGCACTTGCAATTGGAGCTTTTGAAAAACCCAAACGAAAATAGAAACCAGAAGCAGATCCATGTCAGATGAATACACAGAAGACTGGGCTAAATTTATCTAGAAGAAAATTTTGAAAATGGATGTGGTCCAGCACTTTAATCAGCAAAATAAAAGTACTTTTATAGGTGAGAACTGTAGACAAATGACCAGCGTCTATTTGCATCAGGACAATTTTCTGCTCCAGTGGAAAACAGTCACTTTCAGAATAGGCATTAGCATTTGTAGAAACATCTCCTCAGACAATCACCAATCCAAGCAAGGGGCAGAATATGCAGCAGAACTCCTGCCTCCAACACCCTCATATTATCTATTCATTATTGGCAGAGGACTGTTACTTATTATACCAGCATAAAACATTTAATGGCACACGTGGAAAAAAAGTCTTCTTGTGAGCCTGGCCATGTAATACTTCCTTCCAGATTGCTCCTTCTGAAAGAAAGGCAGGGTTAAAGCCCCTGAAATCTCTTGGCCTGATGTGGTATCATTAGCTCAGTATTGCTAACCTGCCAGCTGGATGGATTTTTTGTGTGCTCAAGTCCTACAGGAAATACTGTCAAATGTTAGTTCTTCCATTCAAATGAGAGGTGTGTTCTCTCCCAAAATAACCAGGCTAAAAACCAACAGAATCACTAATCTTTTTTTTTAAGGGGAAAAAAATAACAACAACAAAAACAAAACAAAACAAAACAGAACACCACACTGCTAAAACAAACAACACCCCCTCAACCCTGAAAAACAAAAAACCCCACAATTAAAACCCAAACTATCTTAGAGGGGATTATTTGAAACATTTCAGAGCACTTCAGCAACCCAGTAATGTCCCCAAGCAGCAGAATATTTTGTTTTCCTCAATACCTAATCTTTACTAGAAAAGTAATGATTACCAAAATAAAGGTACATTCAACGTGGGGACAAACAATAAATGCAACAACATTTGACCAAAATGTTACTGTAGTTACATACTTATAAGCAGCTTAAATTCATTGCAGAATATGTGGCAGGATAGAAAGAACGAAGCAAATGGCCCAAGTTGGATCCCATTGCCCAGTCCCAGGGCATTGCAGCAATGCCCACTCCATAATGTAGAATGCAGAGCTAGATTGAACATTTGTGGCATTGCACCTCATTCCTACTCCAAAAGTACAGAATTGCCAAAAAACCCAACCCAATCAAATGTCATGTGTTTAATAAGAAAACATCAGCATCTCTTATAAGAATCACTACTTGTAGGAGTCATGAAACCTCTCCATTACTTCTGAATAAACTCAGCTAAAGAATCTGAAGATAATAAATCTTCATTAACATCAGTTATTGTGCTGGTTTTATTCGAATAAATTATTTTCATGGGGCGTTTGGCCAGCATCAACCCATTACAGTTATATAGAAGACTGGCAGGGAGAAAAGAACTAGAAAATTCTACCATTGCCAGCACAAGTGAGGAAACAAGGCCAAGACCCATTTTCATAGACCCATTTTAAGTGCACAGCCTGCAACTAAAAGATCTCCTACTGAAGTAATGCTTGTTTTAGGCAATCTGATGCTATTTCTACCTTTCTTGTATCAATGCACAGGATTGTGAGCAACCACCTTTATCTCAGCATCACTCAGTGAAGTGACTCAATGTATTAATTCACTCTTCAGAAATCAGAAAGAGCATAAAAATAGCATTTTTAAATACAGAAAATGCTGTGATAGAAATACAAACAGAAGTTTGATAGAACAGATAGAAATACAAAGGCAAAGTGCCTTTTGTCTGTTCTTTAAAAAGAGATTTTAAATAAATTTGCATAAATGACCTTAGGTGAATGCACAGATAAACCTATTCTTTATAATATTCACACAGCATGAGCAATCCAACAAGAACAGCAATTCTTATTTGCAGTTACCCTGTTTCTTAATATCCCATATGGTAGAGGCACAAGAGATTGCATATCCTAACATTATCTGTGTTGGAAAGTATTTATGATGTGTCATAATACCAAGATATCTTTTCTTTTCCTTCACAGGTTTTCACCAGCAATATTTTTATATCTGATTTGCATAGTACCATCACTATGGCTACTAGAAATTCATCATGGGACTCAGGTATTTATTATGGGACAAGATGGATTAGTTTGAAATTGATGCATTATTTGACAGGTTGACTTCAGACAGAAGTCTGCTAAGTCTTGTTCCAATTCTCTCTTTCATATTGGTGGGTGTCCCAATCCAGCTACACTTATATTATGGCTACTGTGCACTTCCTAATTATCAGATAATGAGCCTCTTTCCTATTTAAAAATGAGACCATTTATTTGTATTTATCTGAGGAACTGAGGACTAGAAGTTTGAAAAACACAGCCTTTCTTCCCCAGGTTACCAGCATAAATATTGCTCAGTAGAGTAAAAGATCTTCATTGCTTTAGAGGCCTTTGTAAAATAAAGTGAGTTTCACAGCATGTAAAAGCAAATGCCACAACTTCAAGCAAGTCAAAATTGACACAGGTATCAGTGAAAGGGGTCTTAAACTCAGGTTACCTCATGCAACGTGGAACATACAGATTGTTACAACAGCTGGAAATATGTCTGACAAGGTTTATATCCTTCCTTTCTTTGTGCTGCATAGTAATCGGGGGTTGGGGGTGGGGCAGGGCCTGGATTCCATTTCAGGACTAAAGCACATGGTAAGATTTTTAAGGGCAAGTGTTCTGGCGTCAGTTGGGCCAGAAGAGAGCCCCTTTGCCCGACAGGTCTCACTGAGTCAAGTTCATGTAGGCTACTTTCAAGTCCCTATAGCACTTCCATGCAGTGAAAAGGAAATTTTGTCTGTCCCAGCATTTGCACATATGCAGTGCCTTACATACAGAGTAGTAAAGGTTCTGATTGGAACAAGAACAAAAAGTAACAGAAGAAAATACATAAATTAGACTAAAAATACCTAGTGCCTCATTTTCTCCTTTGAAGCATTGCTAGAGCCCACAGAATCATAATCAAATATTCAAAATTGTGTTTACACTGAAAATGCCTGAGGCTTTTTTTAAATACAGCAGCAGGAATTTATTGTCATCTTGTTTTCCCAAATCCCCTTAAACAGTCACAGACAGGTAATGTGGATATTGAGAACATTTGTCATAGTTAAATCTGGTCCAAGAAACAGGCTAATTCTGTAGTCAAAGGCAGCAGTTTATTTCCCAAAATGATGTTAGAACATGGCATACTTTGTTCTTATTGATATACTGCTATTGTGAATTAAAGAGGGAGTATATCAAGTTAACAGCTTAGTTTATACCTGGAGAGACAGGATTGAGAGTTCTGGAAACACAGAGTCTAACAGGTTCAAAAACAATGCCTCCAGAAGGGGAGCAGCTTTCCTAACATTTAATCTCAAACACAGCACCCAGCCTAGTACTACCCTTAATACTGAAGTATTCCTGGGATTTCATTATTTAAATGCAAACAGAATGGGTAATTATGCAATGACTAGATCCATACTTTTAATATATACACTATGAAAACAGTGTGTGGTCTTTAAGACAGTAGAACTTTGATGTCATGTTGAATCTTTACCAGGAAGTGTCAGCTGCTTGTCAATGCTGTTATTTAAAGCAGGTGCTAATAGGCAGTCTCTCTTCCTGAAGACAGAAGCAATTCTGCCTCTCTGTGTACTGCAGAACTGGACTTATAATACCATTCATATATCAAGGGTGAAATACTGACTGCATGGAAACTACTGTTTCGTGGTAACATATTTAGGGATGAAATATATGTTTGGGAGAGATGATAAAGCCAATTGAACTGTACAGAGAGAAAAAATTGCTGTCTTCTGTCAAGCAAATTGAAACTATTTAATCCATTTAAAAAACCAAACATTCTTTTGTAATGATGTACAGGATCTCAGGACTCTGTTACCTTTTCAAATGCCTGGCGTGCCACTGCCACAGAAAGCAGTAACTGACCACCTTTTGCTGGGCTTACCCAGCTACTAGGGCCATAGTCAATGCAGGCTTCCAGTCAGGAATAAGACAGATACTTGGTAAACCTTGTAATTATTTTTAACCACCTTGAACTTTTAACCAACTTGAACATTTTGGGGATATAGTGAATATCACTGTCCATTCCCTCAGCCTCATTCTGAGGTGGGATTCTCTAAATTCGCTAAAATTATACCAAAATAAATTCCTCAAAGGGATCTTACATCTTTCACCATTCCTTCCTTGCCATACCCATTATATTCCTCAATTTAGGAAACAACTTAGGTAATCTTTTCTTCATGTTTTACATTTCAGCTTTCCTGTATGAGCAAAATGAAGCAGTGAGGAGTGCTTTGAATTTCTGACATCACATATGTTTCCATAGTGACATATGTTTCCATAGCCACACTGTTTGCAGCAAAGCACAGACAGCAAGCCAGGTACCTGTTGCTTGGCAGAGGGCCTGCTCCAGGGAAGGGCTGGACTCTTCCAAAATGTCCTCAGCCTGAAAGCTTCCATGCACATTAATAGGTTGAGGGTACTCCACCGTAATATTCAAGTGTCAATTTTACACCTCAATGCTGGCCCCATTATGAAAAGTTTTAGCTAACCTCAGTTTTATTTGAAAATAATAGATTGTGAATAAGGTGCAAACAGAAATTGGCAGAATTAGTTTGGTGTTTCAGGTGTTCCTTGTGCACTGGCAGCAAGCTTCTCTGCAGGTCACGCACTGGACATCACCATGTCATGCAACAGCATATCCATTTTGATTAGATGGCTTATGAATCAGGGGTATGTAGGCTTCATCTCAGAAGAAATAAAAGAAAGTAATCAAAGTCAGAATTGATACAAAATGTGTACAGCTTCTTCCTGTTTTATCTTTGCACAGAAGAAAACCTGAAAACCAAACAATTTTTATTTAGCTTGGTACACAGTCAATACCTAGGACTAGCTGGGGTCTAGTAGTAAAAAGGCAAACCATGTTTATCAAGTGCCTGTGAAACAGTAAAACAGTATTCACTTTCTTCTTGTCACATTCCCATTTAGTCACTGCACATCCATAAGTCAGTAAGTAAATAAGCCTGGTACCAACAGTCCTATTTACATGCATATATATGATGTAAATAAAGGCTCTTCTCCAAATTTTCAAGTGAATCACTTCACAATCCCATTTAATAAATATTCAGAGAAGAACAAACCCAAACAAGATATGAGCAAACTTAAATAAAAAACCCAGACGCCTACTTAAACAAATAAAATAGGAGCCTACTTAAATGACTGGCTTTGCAGATACAGATTTCCATTTCCTGCCTGGAAGCAATTGAGAAGAGCTATAGACTGGCCCTGAGCTTGCCATTCAGTCCAAAATCACAGAGCCTTGCTCTGAAAACAGTAACCCACTTATCTGCTGAAAGTATCACAAAAATTACATATAAGGAAAAACATTTACTAAATACACCAATAACGTGAATTAATTTTCTTAGAGGTATTTCCTGCATCTTTGTGCTGCTAGAACAAGAGAAAAAGAGCTCCCTCTGCAAGCCATGGCATGGTTTCTTCCACCTACTTCTAGCAGTCAAGCTGCTGAGTCCTGCAGCTCCTCAGACTTGGATGTGAAGTTCTGAACAGGTTCATGGTTGCTTTCCTCTTATTGTGCCAGACCAGGCAAGGGGCCAGAGGGGTGAGCTTAAATGCAGACTTAATGACAGACCAAAGGCTGTCAGTCGGCCTTCCTCCTCCTGTACAGGTCAGTCATCCCTTTGCCCTACCCAGGCTACTTGTGGATGTTCACATCTTAGTATTCTGGGGTGATTAGGACAGTTATGCCATATTTTTAGATTGTGGTCTCCTCAGCTGTCTCACACAGCCAATGGAAGGAACTCAGCCTGACTTTGACCTTGGGAGTGGGTCTCCATAGACTTTAGGGGTTTTCTGTAGGTAGCAGATACAGATGCCTCACCAGAGCACCAATGAAATTTCATTTCCAACACATCCTCTGAACAAGCCGTTCCCTCTCTCTCCTTTAGTTTAAGGGCAAACCCAGGGAGATTAGCCCTACACAGCTGTAGCCAGGCAGAGTACCAGCCTCTCCATCTCACTGTTTCCGTGACAGAACTGTAAACTTTAGACTAAATGGAAATATCTTCTCCACATCTGTGTGTCAATTTTTCAAGACTCTCACACCCACTGTTCAAATAAGACAAGCATTCATCTTAAGACTCTTTACCGCCAACTCTAAAAGCAACAAGCACTGACATTTTTTCCAGATTTTTCAAGTCAGGAAATTTATCCACCATAAGGTCAGACAAGAGGCAGCATTTACCCAGATTCTGAACAACATATCAGAAACCAAGCAAAGTATCAAAGCAGAATCTGAAATTTGCTGAAAAATATTGTTCTTATATTGGCAGGCAATTGATTGGCAATTGGCAGGCAATATTGATGCTGAACACAACTACTCAGTATGCTCTCGAACACATTCCAATTGTTGCAGAAAATCAGTCCCTGTGAATGTGACGGGGGGCCCAATGGAGAAATGCAAATCACCTGCAATTCTCTGGCAAAAATAAGATACAATAAAAGTCCTTAGTAATAGCATAGTTTGATTTTCTAATTATTCTCTTTTTATTACAATGGAGATAGATGTTATGGATTGTTATGAAGACAGATTTTGGAGCTATGCCCCCTAGTTGCTCCTGGGCCAGTCTTGGGTGTGAAGGTAGAAAGGCAGGACAGTGCATACAGAACATAGCATCACCACTGGTTTACTGCGGTAACAGTAACAGTAACAGTACAGTACAGTACAGTAACAGTACGTTTTAGCCAATGCTCAATTTCCCAGATGACCGTGTTCTTTTAGAAAGTAAAATTTATTCCATTTCAAGGAGATAGGCAACAATACAGGTCTAGTTCTCTTAAACACTCCTTTATTTCACCTCTCATCCTATGAATTTCCTTACAAAATAAGGCACAGCAGGGACAGGAGAGATGGAGAATACAGGCCAAATATCCTACCTCAACTTATTTTCTGCTTTGAGGGAAGTTATACAGAAAAATGAAACAGTGACATTTTCAGAGAGCTTTTCCTGGATAGTAGAAAAGAGAAGCAGATATTTTGAGAACAAGTTTGAATACAGGGCCTGGCCATCACCAGTTTTTACCTTATTTGCCTGTTTTAACCAAAGAGAAACCATGTAGGGAACCCAGCAGGAAGTTCAGGAGAGCTGCAAGCAGATCACATTCACAGGGGGGAGACTTAAGAGCACAGAGATGTCACCCACTCCATCGGCCTTTGAATTTGCATCCACTTCTGCAGTACAGTCCTGTACTTTCTCAGGAACCTACTACATATCACTCTTGTCCTCATGATAGGAATTCCTCCCTTCTGAAGAAAAGGGGAATTACATTAAGAGTGAGGGTGTTTGTAAACATCAGCTGTCTTTTACAAATGAACCCTCTGCAGTTCAGCAAAACAGGACAGTCTCAGCCATAGAGCACATCTGCTCCCTGGGTGGGATGTTTACACATGTGTCATGTTTTTGTTCACAACAGTACTGTGCCAATGAGCCAGGGGCAGTTCAGGTGAATGTCAGCAATCAAGACTTCAATCAATCGAGAGAGAGCAGTCATGGAAGTGAGGGAACAGATCACCACATCATTCAAACGGTAGGGCACCTTTTCCTGTTTCTGTAGAGATATTATGACAATTAGAGATAAGCACCTTGCAGAGTGAGTAAAACAAACAAAAAAAACCACCAAAACCCCTCCTCCCCTAAAAAACCCAAGAAGGCAAACAACCCAAGATATGTATATTATATATATCTGTAGTTTAGAAAATCACATTATGAAAATACAACATTCAGCATACTAACTATTGTTGCTAAGACCAGTCTCTGTGTAAAGAAGAGATGCTCCTATCATTCTCTTCTGAATCTCAGTAACTGAATTTAGAAAGTGCCTGGGTAGTGATCTGCAAAGGATAATGCTCAATTGAAAAATAAGAACAGGAGGAGTAGTGCACAGAGAAAGATTTTATATTCATTATCCAAAGTCTGTATTAAAGTACCTTTTTAAACCAGGCCTGCCAGATGGAAATTATTTGTTTTCATACAATGTGAAAGGGAACAAAAGCAGGCTCAAAGACAAACACAGTCTCTGAAGGTACCTATAACATCAGTCTCCTGAAGTTACAGTGTATTATTGCTGTCTTTTAAACAGGCTAAAGTCTTTGTCAATCAGCTTTCCACAATCTGCGAGACTGTATGGACACTGGCCCTCCACCAGACTTTTCTACTGCTACTAGTAGTTGGGAGATGGCTTCTCCCCATTGGAGTTGAAATCACTCGGGATCAATTGTCTCAGCTGCTTCTCATGTTCGTGGGAACAGCAGCAGATATACTTGAATTTGCTAGTGAAACCTTGGACATTGAGGATGTTCGGTAAGGATATTTTGCTGATGTAAATAACTTGCACTGTGCAAGATATTTCTGTAATATGCAGTGCTCAGACTGGTAAAACTGTGCTTCTCATAGAAAACAGAAGGCAACATTCAAGGGCTCTGTGTGCCTGCTCTTGCCTTTCCCTCTGTGAAAGGCCTAAGTCCTGTGAGCTTTGTTATGGATTACTTGTGTTGCCAGCAGAGATGCATGTCACGTCATCACAATGAAAGGGTTCAGAGAGCCAAATGAGCAGCCTAACTGCCAGGCAACATCAGTTCTTATGGCTACAGGAGCTGAAACACTGGATACACAGTGAGCCCCCCTTCAGGATAATGAATTGTTTTAGATGGGCAAGGAAGCAACTAGAGCTGGCTTAAGAGATTCATTATCCAAGTTGCTCCTTTGGTTATCTTGTGTACTTCATGGTAGAGTGACAAAAGTGTTCAAAGATAAGAAGAAAGGGATTGGCACAGTCTGGTATGAATTTTCAACACTCTGATCTCTACCAGAGAAAGTAAGCTCATCTCCCCCTCACACTGCTGAGAGGTGAGCTGTGAACATCCATCATAAAGAAAGAGTCACAGAAGAGGTTCATCTTCTCTAACAAATACTATTTTATATTTTTGTAATTATCATAGCAAGGCTTTTAGAGCAGGAAAAGAGTCCTTCACACTCGGCATAGAAGCTTCAGGTTGCAAAGAATGTGTAATCACTACAAGGGTAAAGATAACCCCCCTCTGAGCCACAGAATCTATTCTCATATGCTTATTATTATAACAATAGCTTCAGATATTTAGTGCAAGTACACAGCTGGAACATGTAAGCCTTAACGGCAAAAATTCCATACAAAAAGGTGCTTCTGTTTTCCTTAGTGTTGCATCGTAAAAGTACATATAAATCAATCAATCAATCAATCAATCACTGCTTCACTCAATGACCCTTCAAATGACATTCCAAACACTACAGGAAGCATTTTTGTGATCACATAAGGAAACTAAATCTTCATTGTTATCACTTTTTCCCTTCCCATAGGAAGAATTACGCTCTCATAAATGCAATTCTTGCTGTATGGACCTGGAGTATGTTACAATTTCCACTTGATCTTGCAGGTTAGTACTTGCACATAGACAAGAAAGGAGAAAAAATGCTCTTAAGTTTTTCCTGGTACATCTTGTGGCTGTGCACACACTAAAGGCTGTACCAAGCACTCCTGGTGGAGAGGAATTCATATGACAACAGCTTTTGAAGAAAGCTCATTGTGGTTTCTTTTGAGGAAACACTTGTTTCTGGCTAACCTCTGATCTCGCTGATAGAGCTCTCTACATTCAGGAAAAGGAAAAAAGTGTTGCAGTATTGTATTGCTCCAGTTGCCTGTTATGCCTTAAACTTCACTATATGAGCTCTCAAGTTAGATCTGGTCTATTATGGCTCAGATTTGGGTACAGAGAGGCAGGCAATTGTGAACCACAGAACAGCACAGCCAAAAGCACAAGGAGAACTTACCTATTCATAGGAGACCTAAAGGACTGTATGATGTTGGGAGTGTACACCGTTATCTTAATCTAAAAGGGCCACCTAGTCAGCCAGCTCAGTGCTGTGTTTGTCTCTAGGCAGAAAGAGCTTCTCCCTGTCCAAAAAGAAGAATGAAAGCTGTCTGGAGCATTGTCTGTTCCAGCCATTTTGGCCTCCAATGACAACAAGATTACGACAACTACAGCAGTCCAAAAATGCAGTATCCTCAGTAGCATCTTATACAAAACAGATTTCTAGGCTGACACACTGACTAAAATTATTTTAGTGAAATATTATTTTGTTCATTAATCTTTTTTTCATGGACAGTGCTAGGCTTTGCTTCCAACAGGAAAGTTATGAAAATATTTCATCATTTCAACTCAGCAGCTCACCACCTAAAAAATATGATGCAATCACATTTCAGCTTTATCATAGCTAAAATTCCTGCCACTGCTAAAATATATTCTATTAAAGATTCACAGCACTCAGGTTAAAAAAAAATAAACCAACCAAATAAAAAACATCCTATATACATCACCACCACACAAATAAATTCAAATAGTGCTTAAACAATCTGTTCATTTTTTTTCTCTAGCTGTTGCTTTTCCACTTATTTAATTACATTCACCAGTTAAAAAATTAAATCACTGAAGACACATTTTCCTGAAGTTGCTATGGGTACAGTTTATTGTAGGTACTTCTGTACAATTGCACAGATAGTACTTTTTGTTCAAGCATCAGAATGTTTATTCACACATCAAACAGGAATAAAATAAATTTTTAGGCACTTACTGTTAGACTACAGCAGTGCAGTTAGGATTATTAAACAGCAATGGCACAGAAGCATATTAAAAAATTAGCTGCTGCTGAAGTTTTGCCTAATGGATTCGGCAAATTTCTAAATCTTACATCTCATTTTCCATTTGAGTATCATCTCTTTCTCCCCCCCACCCCAGCATTGACTCAAACAATAGAATTCTTTTGGCAGGTTGCAGTGTTTGGCGGTTGTTACTGCATTATAAGTAGTGATGCTTTTTAAACCAATGAAATCTCCCTGTCCAAGAGACAGGTTAATTAAGCTTCATGTATTTTCGTGAGACACAGTCAAATTTATCTCCACAAACCCTTCTGATGCTCCTTTTGTGGGCACTACATCATAGAAAGCATTTGAACCCACTACCACCTTTAAAGCCAAGGGGAATCCATGCATGCAAGTTCCAGGAGTTCTGTGAAATTCATACCTACAAGGCTAAGAACAAGTAACCATGCTTGAAGTCTTACATGGGAGACAGAAACCACATAATGCTCAATATTGCCTGACACTGAAAAGCCTTATTCTTACTATGACACGTGAAAAAGGCAATGGCTATCTGGTGAATATTTAAAAAGCAATGTCTTAGCATGGAAGAAAGTGAAGTACTACAGCACTGGCTGTTCCTTTTAAGCACAGTTGTTTTTCTTAAGGATGGATACTGGTCCAGCATGTTGATTTACCAAATAAAAGGTCTGGGGAAGTTGTGAAGAATCATTAGGTGATCTCTTTCTGCTCCTTGTTGTAGAAGTGTATAAATCCTGGTATGTTTGAGGGATAAGAAAGGGGAAGTGGTTTTTAGTCCAGTGACCACGTGAGTGGCTCAGGTACCTTCAGTGTGTTTTCCTGAAAAGCAGCCCAGAAACTGGGTATACTATATGTTGCACAGTTTGCAGGTGAATGCATTTATAATCCAGAGTACCCTGTATTGTGAGTGTCCTTTAGGCCAACCCTGGCTCCAGTTCGCAAAGTTGTTTTAACAAAACTGTTTTGCTTCCAGTACAGCATATTGGCTGCAAACCAAGCACATCGGCCAGGCGGATCCCCAGCCTGCTGCTGTGCAGGTACAGCGCAGAGCTCTGGAACATTGGGGTCAGCCTTTTCATACAGGACGGCCCCTTCTTCATTGTGCGTTCAATTCTGATGGGCCACTTCAGAATATTCAATCAGATGCTGGTATTTTTTACAGCTAAGAATATCCTAGTTGTGACTCTACAGTTGTATCGGCTGGCAGTGATAACGTTAGACTTCCGTGCTACTGTTCTGCAGAAGAGCAGGAAAGGAGAAGTCTGTTGCTGCCCATGTGAGCCTTATGAAGCTCATGCTACTGGTCACCAAGAGAACAAAATGAAAGAGTTTGTTGCTTTTCCTCCGAAAGAGGAATCCCAAGCTCCATCAGAAGATCACTGAACAGTTATTGACTTGGAAGAGCTCGCATTTCCCACAGCTTCTTCAGAAGGGCTTTGCTGGATTCTATGATCAAATAGATCATAAGTGCCTAAGTCATCTTTTCCATCAAGAGAACATTAATTTCTTCTAAATTGTAGGGGAGCTTTCTCAAGCAAATAGAAATGGGACTTTTTAAAAATCCCTTTTTTGGTGGGTTTTGACTAGTTCCATATTATATTATTCACAGGGATTTTGTAGCCATAGTTTGTAGTATCAAGAAAGGTTAGGAGCACTAACAAGATTGGTTATTACCATTGGTGGCACTGTGCTGACCTATGTACTTGCATGTATTCAAGTAGAAGGACAAGCCTGTCCTTTATAGGAAGCACAAAAGCATTGAGCTCTACTAGAATGGTAGGGCTATGTAACTACAGTGTGATGAACAATATGTTCGCCATGTACAGGAGGAACTTCAGCAGCAACAACTGTGCAGGCATGTTAGTGCTGTTACTGTGACACAAGAACATTGTTCATTCCAGAAATTTAAGGAAACTTTCTTCAGATGTTACCTCATCTTTGGCTGGATTCACTTAAGAACTAAGCAACACCATGAAACTGCATACAAAAGACTCTTATGACTTGCCTGGTTTGAATAACCTAAACGTTAACAAAAAGAAAAAAAGCAGTCCCTTGGATCACTAGAAGACAACTGCATTTGGTACAGGAATTTTCTACAGAGTTGCTTGCCTTTCTGTTTCTACCAGTTAGAACATAGACGCACAGAACACACATGGATAAAACCTCGCCAAAATATTCATAAATACTTTTTTCCTCTTGATTTCACAGTTCTGTTCTTACAGTTGAGACAGTTTTTTGAATGTCTTCATTTTGTATGATTTTTAAAAGTGGCCTGACCTAGACACAGAATGTTTCTAGAAATAAGATAGCACTGCTGCTCAAAGCAATCTAAGCCAAAGGTTTCAGGCATGCACTTCATGTCTTGTGAAATACTACAAGGTCCCATGAAATAACCTGAGAAATTGTCTGATCTCGTGAGTGTCAAGATCCATTTTTAAGAAATGGTTTATAATTAATACTTTATTACTTTCACATTTGGAGTGAACAACATAGGCCCCAATTTCTCCCAAGAGCACACTTGAGATCAGAGTAAGATCATTGACTTTGCGGGACTTAGCTTAGAAAAGCTGAAAGTAAGATAAGTGATTTTTAAAAGTCTGCCTAAAAATTATTTTCTCACAGAAAATGGCAGGTGCTTTTACAGATTTCTGCATCCATTCTGAAAAAGAGCAGAAAAGCATACAGAGTGACTTAATTAAGATAATTTCACATATTAAAAACACCAAATTAAACCTTATTTTCTAAAGTCTCAGCTATCTGAAAACCAGAGTCTGGTTTCAGGTAAGAATGAAAGTGTTTCTACCATCATTGCCACAGTCATATGCTTATTTATCCACAGCCTGATTAGCAATGACACATTTATTCTTTAAAAGATTAACCTATTTAAAAAGTCCAAACACCAAAGATGTGAACATGTGTTTATACTTGTGAGTTCTTACTGTTCTATGCAGGATAAGACCCTTCCATTATGAAAGAAGAAAACACACAGCCATAAGGAAGTATCATATGCTTCATAGCCCAGTCTACCATTTATATAATAGTAAGAATGTGCAACACCTCCTTCTCTGCTTATTTTCAACCTTTTTCCAGCAAAAAACAGCAGCATTTTTTAAAAGCCAATCACTACATGCCATGATATTGTGAGGTAGACATATGGAAAATGGAATGCAACTTCATTTTGGATTTTAATTCAAGTCTAGAGGTAAAAAAGTGACAGTTCTGATGATGAGCTGTGCTGTCTAAAACCTTTCATACTGGGATGAATTTAGAATCACTTGGTAGAACCACAACATAGCTCGTCCTTGTGGACGCAAGCTGGAACTACTTGTATTCATTTTGAGTTTACCACTTGCTGATATAGTAATTATCCTGTTAAAAGGATCACTGCTAATTAATTTGGAGTGTACTGAGCTTGCTAGAACATCATTCTAAATTCATCAGCACAAAAATTGCAAGGATGTAGTTTTTTAAAACTTGCTATTTAAAGTCTTCGTTCAGCAACAAACTGCCTACTAGACTCAGTCTGCAGCAAATGCAAGATCCCCTGGGGTCAGCAGTACAGAGACTGGTTACAGCAGGAGTATTTTACAGCAAGCTCTATTTCCTGGTCTTCAGGCTGTTCAATTTTAAACAGCAGTAAAGCTTCTAATAACGTTTATGGTGATAAGAACTCAGTCCAGTTTTAGGTGGTTACTACAAGATCCCATCCTCATTCACTCACAGACAAAATATGCCAGATCCTCTTCATGTTTACAATAGAGTATATTTCGACTTCCCTTTTCCTCCCCACTATTGCAGTGGTGGCAATCAGATTGCTTAAAACCAGAAGAAAATCCAGACTAACAAAGTAGTAACATAAATTCCCACTTGGGTACAGAGGGGAATCACATTTATCAGGTAGCAGCACGAGTGACGTGCAGCTCCCACTACTTCACTGAGAAGCCTGGAAATGGCAATTAAGGAGTCTAGTAACTTGTATGTTTTGGGCAGAGCAGCAAACCCCAGTTGCAAACTCTTCTCAGTTTCCTGTTGCAAATGTTTGGAGCAGGACTGCAGCTTTGTGTTTTGCAGCAGGCTGTTGGAGGCACCTGAAGCAGAAGCTGGCTGCAGGGAGCCCTGGTGCCATCCCACAGCCTTCCAGAGCTCTGCACTGGGCAAGGGGTAGAATGGATCCACTTGAAGATCTGCCAGCGTCTGTGGTATACCCGAAGATGTCATGCTTGCTCTGCAGGAAAAGTTGCAGTAAACCTTCAGATGGGGAAAATTCAGGCCTCCAAAATGGAAGAATTTCAGAACATTTATCTTAACCATTATTTACTCAGGTCAGGAGAACACATTACTAAATCTTTTCTGCAAATAGATATCTGACAGTTTACTGTTGTTTATTCAGGCCTTGTCCTTCTAAATTTTCCTCTATTAAACCTCACTAAAATGTTTCACCACTTGTCTTTTTCTGAGCTAAAATGTATTCCTCCTTTCTTTTGGACATTGGCTCAAATAAGATCATAGTCTTAAGCAGGAAAAACAACAAACAACAGTGATGATTCTATTGCATTCCTGTTGGTATTTGTACTGTACTGTGTTCTCTGTGACCATGTGGAAATGGAAGAAAATATGCAATTACTTTTAAAAAATTCCAACAGCATTTTGCAAATAAAAGGCAGTTACCTCAGGCATAGCTGCCAATTTATTATGTGAGAGCTGACTGTTATATGTTGCTATTAATTATATCTTCCACATGCTGCTTTTCCTTTCCATGCTTCGTAAGTTAATTACTTAGGCCAGATTCTGACTGCTGCCATTCCTTTGAAAACCCACAGCAACTGCAGCTAATTTCATTCTGTCCTGGATAGATTCTTTATTCAGAGCCTTTGCCTCCAAGTATGCAAATCACAGTGCAATCCCCAAGAGGATGTGTTTAATATCTGCACACAGGAGGCATTTTAAAATACACACACAAATACATACAATGCATTTAGATACCCTCACACACACCTGGCAATGCCCAATATACAGCTTTTATTTCTGTATTAACCTTTGAGACTGCCAGTAAAAACACTCTGCAAATGCCCCCAAAACACAGAAAATACCTAAGCTTTACAAGTATCTTGAAACTTAAGTAGTAAGCATTCCCTACTCTGAATAATATACTGATTTAAAAAGTAAAAAAATTAAGTTCCCTGGAGTATATTCTTCCCATTAAGATTTCTTCATTTGAATGAAATGTACCCAATCATTGTTTCCCCTCAAAAATAAGCATTAGAACGTAACACCAGAACAAAGTGTTTAAAACTGCACAAGGCTGTTTCTCTAATGCTGTATCAATAGAAAATAGTCAAGCTTTGGAATCAGCAGGCTGGAGAGTCCCTGGCCCCTCTGTCTTTGGATTCAGTTTTCCACTTTTTTCACACTGTTATATGAGGAAGGAAGTCTCTCCTTCCTTACAAGAGGAAAGAAAACAGATCATTCCTAATCTGTAGTGGTGAAGCAACAAAAATGGGTCACAGTGACAAAAGAAGCACAGATGTTTACCCAAGATTGGTCACTGCACCAGCACAGAAATACAGCAGTACAGACCCCTAATGGAACAGATATTAATGACTGAGATAATCATACATGAGCTGTGTTGTGAAAACATTTCCTGGCCCTTCACAGCCAGCACAGGAAGGGTTCTCAACAGCCAGCTCCATTCCAGTATCTCCAGCAAGGTGCTAGGACAGGAATTCCAGTGATCCCAAGTCTGTCTTGAAGGTATCACTGAAATCCTTTGTGCAAATTTTTCTTAATTTGGTCTCCTTTGGGTTGTATCTTTTCCCTTCAGATTGGGCAAAAGGCCTGAGAGTGAAAATAATGTAACTATAAAAAACCCTTCATTTATCAACCTAAACCTTAACCTCACCCTCTACATACTGCTCTTTGCTCATCCACATTTCTGCCCGCTTTCTGGGCCCACCTTCCAGATCTCAGCGCACAGACAAAACATGTTAAGCACTGCACCTCCCACTGCTGTCTGAGAAAGTCTTTACAAAAGAACACAAGAATTCAGGCCAAAGATTAAGAAGAACCAAGCCTATTTCCTCCTGTTAAAGATGAAAGCTATCTACAGCTGCCAAAGCATTTCCTCCATTTGTTTTTAGCCTACTATAGGGAGAAGAATCTTTTCCTGAGTAGTGTCTCTGTGAAGGACTAATTTATTGGAAGAGTAGTATCATTTCCTGTACTTCTGTGGATTATTATCTCTTTTAAACTGTAAGGTCACACAAAGTTTGAAATGAGACTGTCAGGCTGTAGGTAAAAATAATGGAGTTGAAAGGTGGTACAATATAAAAGTGATGCCCTAGCCCAGCATTTTTAATTCTAGGAGATGGGAAAGGCCTCCAAACCAAGTAGAATAGATCTGCATGAGTAGCATCTGTAATAGCAGCTTAGAAGAGCTGAACTAAAAATTGCTCTAAAATCTTCAGTCTAATATTATCTAAGTAATACTATCCTAAAATAATCAGACAGAACAAGTATAATCACAACTAATACCTAGGTCTCACAGAAGACTCCAGAAGAACATTAGAAGAGATTTACAGTGTGAAAAACTGGTTGAGTGTTGCTGTTCTTTCATTTTATATACTCTGAATAAACTGATGCATTTGAAACTGAAACATTTGAAGAATGTGTTGGGCTTACTTTTATGTGATATCTTGCCTTAGTGCTTCACAATTCCGTTCCCCTGATAGAATTCACAAAAAGCTTGTCTTTCACAACAAACTTGGTAGAAGCCTTGTTGGAGCATCTTTCGGGATTGCAAGAGACAATAGTATGCTCAGCTACTGCAGCACATGAACCAAGACAGCTGTCAGACACTATAACTGACTGCAGGCCTCATCCTGCCTTCAGTAAGCATTCACAATGCCACAGCTGAAGAGCAGTACTGTGTCTGTAGTATTACTAGAGAAACATAAAGTCAGGGCTCATTTTCTCAGGCAACCATTAGAACGTTCAAAAAGCACTTTCCAAAAATATTTATC